AGCCATGCAAGCGAACTTGTCGTCGGGGTGGACATCGAAAACATATTTCACGGTCAGTGCCGCGCAGAGCAGGTATCCTCCGGTGGTGTGCACAACGCCCTTGGGCTTCCCGGTGGACCCAGAAGTCTACGATAAAAATAAGCACCATAAAAAAACGATATGCCAGATGTGCCTTACATATAGAATGAAAAGAGGATCTTCTGAGGCCATGATTTCAGGAGGGCAGTAGTTTGGGACTTTGAGGATTTCCTCGTGCCACCACTTATCCCTCCCTTCGGTCCAGGCGACCTTGTTTCCAGTCCTTTGGAGCACAAGAACGTGTTCCACTAATGGGCACTCCTTAAGAGCAGCATCGACGATAGCCTTGTTAGCGATGGTCTTGCCACCACGCTTGCCCTCGTCGGAGGTGATGACAACGCGGGACTTGCAGTCTTGGACACGGTCTCGAAGAGACTCTGCTGAGAAACCCGCAAAGACAACGGAGTGGACAGCACCGATACGCGCACAGGCAAGGAAGGCAGCCACGGCTTGCCATGTCATAGGAAGGTATACGGAGACGGTGTCGCCCTTCTTGATGCCGAATGACTTGAGGACATTGGCGACGCTGGAGACCTCGCGCAGAAGCTCGGCGTATGAGATATCGCGTCCCTCACCGGGCTCGTCAGCCTCGTAGATGATGGCAGTCTGCGAGACACACGGACTGTCAATGCACAGAAAATGATATTATGACATTCGCCCTTACCTTGTTGGGGTGCCTGAACGCCCAGCGGTCGACACAGTTGTAGGATGCATTCAGCCCGCCTTCTGGGAACCAGACGATGTCACCAGTCTCGAAACCGCCCCCTCGGACAGTCTTGAAGGGGCGATCCCAATGGAGCATAGCGTGCGCTTGCTAGATAAGATAATGGATTAGATGGCGCATCATGGTCTCAGATGGCGCGCTGCGCACCTTCGCCCACCAGTTGTCGGACTCATGGCCCACGGTCTCCTTGTGTGCGGAGTGGTAGTCGTCGATGTGTGGACCAATGTGTGGCTTCTTGCTGCCGTGCTTCAAACGCGGGGCGACGGGGTGGATGGGAATTGTCTGAATCTGCTCGGCCATGGTCGGGTTTGGGGTGCGGAAGAGTGGTGTGTTTGGGTTTCTATATCATTGCTTTTGTAGCCGATTATTATGCAGGGAATTACGCTGCAACATGTCCAAATGGAGCCACCGATCGCGACTCCGCGCTAGGGACAGAGAGATTCTATCTTATTCTTGGCACATGTTCAATCCGTTTCCCATCGAGATCTACCATCTACGGCGTACGCCCGGCCATCCTGCCGTGACTATTATGTGCATCCTTCGCAGAAATTGGCATATTTTTTGTTTGCTCCCTCTCGCGGCTTACAGGATAGACTCCTATAATACTGTTTATTTTTACTGCCTGAAGGTCTAACAGCGCAGGAATTGTTGATACGGTGCGGCCGGACGGCTGTACTGGGCTGTACTATACCCCTCGGCACCTCGCGGAGCAAAAGCGGACGTTGGGGTACGGAAATACACCGTTTGTGGGGATGCGATTGGCTCCGAGTTACCCGAATCGGCACTAGAAACCAATAAAAGGACGGCGATAGGTCACACTGAGGGCGGAATATTTCTCTACAAGCTGCTAACATTTAACCCGTCTTTCGGCTTGTTTTCTACATTTACTTACTACAGAAGAGTCGAAGCGATCATCTTCACACCTGACAGCTTTCATTGTGAAAAAATAGTGGCAGGTCGCAGAGAGAGACGGATTCACGTCTATCTGTGCGATTCCCACTCAGGTCGCGGCGTTTGACGACAGACCCCGCATACCCGCGCATTCTCTACTGGTGGCATCTGGTACAGAGTATGTCAGGTTTTCAATCATATGGAAAACAAGACGTCTCTGCGTTGGTTGGGCCTGAGGGAATTGCACTGCTATTGGATTTCATCTGACAAAAGGAAGAGTCGACAATCGACGGAGAACTCTTAACCCGAGCTCGACAGAAGACAGGTCGTCGTGGATAAGCTTAGAAGGTATGGAAGCTAGCGGTAATTAAAGGAGGGTGAATATATAGAAGCTAAACTTTGATTTGCCTTGAACGTCGCGCCGAAGTGGGGAGAAAGTTGTTTCCTACGTTAAACTAAAGGCTTGCTCGGCTAGCTATCTATAATACCATGAAGAGAGTTCAAACACACTTCAAACATTTACCCAGGCAGTCATCTAAAATTACAGTACGCCGAACGCCCTTGCATATGACATGAGAAATATACCGTCGCGGAGGGCTCTCAAGGCTCTATTTTTCCACTGCGGGTGCACGGAATATTTAAACTAATAATAACAGAATGGTGACCCATCGCACTCTAAAGGTAGACCCTTTGGTAGACCCTTTTTTTTAAAGCTGTCTAGCTGTTGTAGTGATAAACAAGTGCAAGGGTTATGTACATAAAAATCATCCGCCGTACAATCAGATCTGAGAATTGGGAAAGATTAATGAAGTGCTAATTGTGGGTTCGAAAGCATTGGACTCGCTAAGCCTTCTTCAGCTTCCCGTTTCAGTTGGAGCTTTCTGTTCGACTCTCAGCGAATGTGGGTAATTAATGACAGGATCCTTGAACTTCGGGAAATTATGGCGAAATCCAGAAGGCACAAGCCAAATGATTCATGAGGTCGATGAGGGTCGACGTGCCCCTCACCACGGGACCGAAGTATTTCCCGATTATCATATGCAGGTATGTGACTTTGTAAGCCGACGGACCTTTCCGCAATAATTTAGCGCCCTGGCGGGCTTCCTGCTAGGGGCCATCCCGCCGGAACACCGCACTCCCCGTCAAATGTACGGCACCTACAGACTCAATGATACCCCGCGGCCGCCCCACGGCCTCCTGTGACGCCAACTTTCGCGATTCGGAGGAGGTAGATGGAGGCGAGCGGAAGGAAACCGCTTGCATCCCCCGCCTTCGGATCTCCGCACGGCGTAAAATGCAATGGAGGCGGGGGCCCCAGCTGTATGGGAAAATTCCCCGAGCTGCCCCCACCGCAGCCTCAGGCAGCCAAACGCTCCTAGACATTACCATTGCCGCTCCCCTGCCGATGCATGTAGTGTGTACGTAGATGTACGTACATTACGATCTGCCAAGGCCTTGTCTACCCCAGTGTACCCCGCGATCAAAGTGGTTGTGGGGGATCAGGACACGCGCCCATGGGGTAAGCAGTGCAGCGCGCCACGAGGCTGGGAGGGGCTAGGAGGGGCTGGGGCGGGCTGGGGTCGCATGTATGGGAATAATCTGGAATTATCAGTCCGCAGCTCCGTACATCAGTGTACATCTCCCACCATGCGCCCCTTGGTACCTCTCTACCGCATCTGCTCGACGAGGAATGGGGACCGGATGATCTGGAACACTGCATTGGGTTCTGGCCCACCAAGCGAGCGCCTGCGGAACCCCTTCTCGACGCGCTTCAACAATTGCCATTGCAGATGAACAGGACTGTGATTTAAGATATACATCACAGCGGCCGTAATCGTGGACGGTATGATCGATCCGGTCATCCGCGCGCTATCATGTACACTCTCAGTCTTTGCCTTCGAACTGCCTTGAGGAGATGAATCAATTTGGCTTTTATAACGTTACGAGCCTGTTAGTAACTTTTTAGTACTCGCCAAATATTTTGTATCTGTCCTTCAGGTTCTTTTTTTTATTACGGATAAGTAGTCGTGGATGCCTACGTAACGGAAGATATAAGTAAGGACACGCCGATGCTCTGAGTCTCTGACACCGCAGCCGTCGTGTTATCAAACACTCATTCAAGGTTTGTGAGATGCAATACTTAGCTGAACTAATTCGCCATCACAAGAGAACTTCTTCAATGAGCTCCGAGTCATCTTCACAAATACAATATGCCAACGAAGTAAATTGCGAATTTTCTGGTAAAGATTATCTTCACAGTGAGAGGCTAGAGCCCTTTGGTCCGCGGTCTCCTTTCGAAGACTGCCTGACCAGTTAAAACTTGAACGTATGGAACCCAAATAAAGGGCTTCGGACGACCGCCTAATTTTTCTTTTGAACTTTGATGTCGCTTGGAACTGGTGGGCAGTGCTGCCGTAATACGTATATACTAGTCTCGTACCCAGCCGTCCAAATGCGGAATTTCTTAGGAAACGCACGATCAATGTAAAATTGATGGGCTGCTCCTCACCAGTACGTCTGGTGCATTTGAACCGTGCGACCCCCCATCGTACTCTGCGTGACGCGCAATCAGATCACGTGTACCGCGCGTTCTCTGTTTCGCATAGTAACTTCGAGGCTTAGCGAGCTGTCAAGCGCATTCCGAGAACGCATTCAAGGAGCTCTCCCCCAAGTTCCAAAGGCTCATCCAGAGGTCTGTCGGATTCAGAGTCTGACATCTCGGATTCATCAGATGCGAATACTAGTCATCACACAATTCCCGGCTGTTGTTTATGTTCTGAGTGTAATTTTTGGTAGACATATGGGCAAGGATTTCGGTAGTAGAGATAAAATTATAAGAGTGTTTTCTCAATCTCATTCAAGGGAGCTTCCAGTACAGACTGTTGACAGACTGCAATTTTATGAATAAAGTGATTCTGATGAGTCATTGTCTTCAGTGGAAAAATTATTATTTCAGTGGTGACAGATGCATAGACTACTGGTACTACATATCTGGCCTCGAAAATGCAGTACACAAGCCTATTCAACTCGCAAATAACTAAAAGGCTGGGGCAGGGGCACGAGATCGGAGAGAGGGTGGCGAAATCGTTGTTACCAAATCACGAGACGTGACCAAGTAGCACGATGGGGGGTTGCGCGGTTCAAATGCACCAGACGTACTGGTGAGGAGCAGCCCATCAATTTTACATTGATCGTGCGTTTCCTAAGAAATTCCGCATTTGGACGGCTGGGTACGAGACTACGTATATACATCAGATTCATGATTGCTATACGGATTTTACACCATTCCTATCGAAGCAAAAATTAAGGGCCTAACAGGGAATTGAACCCAGGACCTCCTCGAGTGCAGGAACTTCGCTCCCTAACAAGGAATCATACTACTAGACCATCAGGCCGTTGACGGGAAAAGGTTGAGGCTGATGCGGGCGCTTAACGACATTGGATTACAAATGGATTATGAAGCCGAGTCACGTGATTGTATGTTTCGTTAATTACGCGTTGAATGATTGCCTCCTCGCTGATTTCGTTTCCATCTTGCCTCTTTACTCAAGCATGGCTCCTGCAAAAAGTTCAAAGAATGCTACCAAAAAATCTCCCACCAAAAAAGCCAAATTTTCCAGGAAAGCCTCCCCGAAATCGGATTCTGACGCGTCGAAGCAGCCTGCCGCCGCGTCTCATGTTGACTCGGAGATTGACAGCGACGCTTTGGATGATGATTCCGATATCGCCACGAAGAAAAGGAAGACGCGTAAAGCTACTACTCAGTCGCCTAGGAAGAAGCGAAAAACGGAGGACGACGAAGAGTACGACGAAGAGGACGTGGCACCCTCCCCTGCTCAGCTGTACGACAGCGACGCGTTAGACGATGACTTCGACGAGCCACCTACTATAACTAAGCGCAAGGCTCGCGTATCCACGACCAAGAACAACAAGCAATCGAAATCTCCCCGCAAAAAGAAGAGGCAGGAAGCAAGCGACGTGGAATACGCCGATGACCTAGAGGAAGGACAGGAAGTCGTCGGCGTTGTGGTGCAAGCCCCCAAGACTGGGCGCGTGCCCCCTGGTCAAATATCAAAAAATACCCTAGACTTTCTGAGCAAGCTGGGCGATCCTGCATGCAACGACCGTGATTGGTGTGTAGCCCTTTCCAATTTATGACTATTAGTCAATGTTGAAGCCCAACATAGGTTCAAACTTCATGGTATGTCTACATACCACGTTTTGAGACGCAGAATTAATTACATACAACACCAGAGCCTGTCTATCGCGTGGCCGAGAAGGAATGGAAGGATTTTGTTGAGGCTTTCACAGATGTTCTTGTCGATGTGGATTCACAAATACCACATCTACCTCCCAAAGATCTTATTCACCGAATATACCGTGATGTGCGTGTTCCGCCTGGAATTCAATTCCGATGCTAACTCTTTTGAAGGTGAGATTTAGTAATGACAAGACCCCGTACAAAAGAAATATGTCCGCTAGTTTTTCGCGCAGTGGAAGAAAAGGAATTTTTGCCGGATGTAAGACGTCAATTTCAATGCTATCAAAGTTCGCTGTTAACATTTCGTCACAGATCATGTGTAAGCTCTTTGAAATTAAAAAGAGTATGTCTACTGATTCTATCACCGACCGTTTGTTATCAGAATGAGTATGTTTACGGATTACGATTCTAAAAAATAGTTCACTGACAGACAATTCCTTGATAGTCAAACCTGGGAACGAGAGCATGATTGCTGCTGGTACCTGGTGTCCGGGTCGTAATGAACTTGCAACCATTAGGTAAATTACAGCTTTCATCCTTTGGCTACATTTCTGACTCACAGAGACAGGACCAACATCCAGCGCAGTTCACGGAGATTGCGAAGGGTGATCTCGGCACCGGATTTTGTCAAATTCTTTGGAAAGGCGGAGCGCCACCCCATGGGCGAAAGGCAGAATGTTTTTGGTAACGATGATGAGCTCAAGGTTGCGCCGAAAGGGATTGCGAAGGACGATAAGTGTGTGGCACCATTATCCTTATGCTATTCTCTCGATTAACAGTGCGCAGGGACATCGACCTCCTCAAATGCCGCTCGTTCGCAGTCTCACACAGGTATGTCCCGGCTTGATTTTGAGAATGCGTGATGCTGACGTATCGTCAAAGATTCTCGGATAGTGAAGTCCTGGCGCCTGATTTCAAGGACGCCATAGCTGTGGTGGCTAAGGTTATGCAACCTTTCGTCCATTGGTAAATAATTATGCTACTCGTTCACGATTATTACTGAGCATTCAATGTCCTTCCTGGTACAGCTTGAACGATATGATGACGGTAAACAATGACGATGAGAGTGACGATGATGATGACCAGGAGGGGGAAGACGACGAAGACGACGAGGAAGCTTGATTTGCGCTGAGTGTCTGGATCCACCTATGTATATTTATTTGATGCTTCTATCTTTATCGACGCCTAATTTAACAACTCTTTAATTGCATCGCCCCACCACGCAAATCTGCCTCTATAACTGGCGCCACGGTGGTGCATTGGGCTAATTAAGGGGCAAGGTTTTATGGTGGTGTCAATGTCCTTGCAGATTTGAGGTCTGTCCAGGCTGCAGCCGAAGAGTTCAACAGCAAGGAGCGTGAGCTGCACGTCCTATTCAACAATTGCGTCAGTCCCCCTAGTTTCGACATACAGTAGCTGTCGTTGATGGCGTGCTACAGTGGGGTCATGATACCTCCGATTGAACCACTAACAGAGCAAAGATACAACCTTCAGGCTGGAACAAATGTTCTCGGCCACTTCTACTTCACAGAGCTTCTCATGTCGGCGCTACTGACGGGAGCCAAATCCAGCCCTGATGGCAAGGCGCGCGTGGTGAACACGTCGTCATTTGCATCCCTTTTTGCCAGCGCAGTCTACTTCGACACCTTGCAGGATACCGAAGCGAGAGTAAAAAAGGGGACTATGATGCTTTATTGCCAGAGCAAACTGGTATGCCTGATAAACACTCCAAGGACTGCAGGATCCATGTCTGATCAACTTGTGTATTTTAGGGGACTGCTTTTTGCGAACGAGCTCGCCCGCAGATACGGTGACAAAGGTGTTGTGTTGACTTTCCTGAATCCCGGTAATCTCGACTCGGACCTTTTATGCGCTACACCCCGTCGTTGGTCACAAAAATCATGGTATGCATACAGATTTATCTTAAAGACTGTTGTTAATAGCGCAGTACTCATCAATCCGCATCGCGTGCATAATCGGATTTGGATAGCGTCGTACGATAGTCTTTTGGGGACCTGACACAGCTATGGGCCGGCACATCGCAGGAGGGTGCTCAACTCAATGGCCGGGTAAACTAACTATAACACTTCATTCAATTGACACTGAGATAATCCCGTTAGTACCTAATCCCATGGGCTCGGGTTGCAAACGAGAACCCCGCTGAAAACAAGTTAGCCCTTGCACAAGAAATCTGGGAATGGATGGAGGAAAAGGTCGTCAGCATTCAATATTCAATATTCAATGAGCATTGTTTTCTAAGATATACTCTAGATGAACGGACTAGTAGTGATATACATAATTCATACACAACTTCATGCACTCAGTGTAGTAATTCTGGATTATTGTTCATCTAATCATGCAGCAGTGATTCTCCAACAGAGCAACGCCATCGTGAAAAAGGTTGATCGAGCAGCACGAGAAGGAGAAGCGCCCCTTGAGCTGAGGCGCGTCTGCTTGCCGAGGTTGGCTAGGGAGACTGTAGCGAGACGGGCTCGTTACAGACGAGGGAGAGGGAACACGAACTTGAGGGTGCTCCTCCTCGCGATCCTTCCCCTTCTCCGGAGCGCCAGCCCCGTGCGAGTGCTTTCTTCTGAAAATGCCGCGACCGCGAGTAAATGCGCCGGCCACGGCACGAAAACTCCTCAAGGGCAGCAACCCGTGCCGCGCCGTGTGCGCTGCTCCTTCAAAGCCCTCGTGTACCGAGTGTGGAGCAGTACTGGGTGGCTTGCTCCCCGGGAGCGTCACAGCTTTCCACGCGGCAGCGGACACACCAAGAAGCTCCGGGAAGCGCAGATGCGCGACGTGGACCTAAATGCGCACCAAACGGGCAATTCAGCGAACGTCCCCTTTGCATGGCGAGCGGCGCCTCGTGCACGCACCACGTTGTAGTACTCCTGGAAGGCGTCTTTCATCTCCGCCCAGCGCACAGATTTGCGCGCTGCGTCGTCCGGCAGAGCGTCTGCCGCGGGGAGCAGGGAAGGCGTCTCGGTGGAGAGGTCGGCCTTCACCCACTGGCACCACTCGGCGAGGCTGGTCATGGAACGCGAGTAGTCAGAGAGGAGCCCCAGGTTGGCCACAAGGTCGGTTCCGACGTCCTTTAGGTGGATCTTCAAGGGCTCAGCTGGATCGAAAACATTAGATCATGGAACATAAAAAAAACAATGGACTTGCAGTGTGTTGAGTCTGCGGGGACGAGGACGAGGAACATGTCGTCTTTCGTGGACGCTGCTATCTGATAGAGATGGCGCCACCGTTATATACATTTCGGCTCACGCCACGGCAACGTAATCCACAAACCTTGTACACCTCCTGTTTGATTTCCCTGAATCCCTCCATGACGCCGGTGGATATCTCAAGCGCGTGGCCGGCAATGTCGCGCAGGGTGTCATGGGTAACATCGGCTTCCCAGTCCTTTGCTTCCGTGTCGCAGAAAATAAGCGCGTCGCTGGCCAACTGGTATCCCAGCTGCGTCACGAGCATGCTGGAGTCGATGTGGTGAATAAGCGTAGATATTTTGTTCAGAATTTTCGTGAGGAGCGGATTCTCGTCGGAGGAGCTGCCATTCAAGTCGTCGACTGAGCATGCCCCTGAGCGTAGCGGTGATCAGAGACCAACCTTTGCATATGGGCAAATGAAGCAAGCCGGTCTAGTGTCTTCCTCGTCGTCTTTGCGATTGCCACGAAGTCTAGCTCGGGAGGCTGAGGGTGCGCGGTGGAAGTTGAGGCCATGGAGAGAGAAATATCACTGATTCTGGTGGCAGTTGCAGATCTCCAGCCATCCGCTACGTTCTATATACCAAGTTTGCGCTGCATAGTCGGACATGGATGAGGCATCATTGGCGGATATGAAAGTAGGGGTAGCGGACACGTGTTTGTTGGCAGAGGAAGGATGCAGGCCTCGTGTACTACACACCAAGTCTAAAGGCAATCGTGAAGCATGAAAAGTGCTGAATCGGCTTTTTGAAGGGCACGGCGAAGATCTGTTACCAGAACGAAGCCTAGTGTCCGCTTGAGGCCGCCACGTGCAGCGCTACGCAGTCTGTCACCCAAGAATGTCCAATAAACACGTAGACACAAACGAATATGCAGGGACTCCAGGCAGGATGTCGCGTGAAAGCTGCCTACTATCTCCTGT